TAGTACTGGATTTCTTAGTATAGTTTGGCATTGATGCTGCAATACTGTTTTCTCGTGAAATTGTGCTGCTGATGTGTGGATTGGAAGTATTGTTTTCTGATAAATGATGTTTTTTTTTTTTGTTTGGAAGTATTATTGTCAATTAGGACGTTTTCTGGAGCAACAGCAATACCTTCAGTTAGGACGTTTTCAGCACCGGTACCCATTATAGGAAATTTGTCACTGCTACATTATGTCTTCATTGACAGCAATGAGCTCCAATCTGAGAAAACGTCAAATTCGGTGTTACTCCAAACCATGCCTTCTCCATTTCCAAGGCATGGCTTGGAACATCACTTTTTTTATGAAAAAACAGTTCCAAATATATTGACATTTCCTGGAGCATCATTTTTTCCAACGTGGCGCTTATGTATCACCGTTTTCTAGAGCAATGACATCAATGCCAAATAGATGCTTAATCTACTAACAGGCTATACATTACTAAATGCAGGTGGCAAAACTAAGCTCTCAGGTACCTCTTTTCATTCTCTTCTATTTTTCTATAACACTGGAATGCACAAGGATTAAATAATGTAAGCGATATATGTGCATGACCCATGCACGTATCCAGGAGTCCTAATCTCTCTTTGTATTCTAGAGTCCTAAGATTTCTTTGTATCCTGGTTTCTCTAATATTGTATTAATTATCTCTGTAAGGATAATTCTTATCCTAGTAAGATAAGTCTTATTTTATATAGGATTCCATCTAATCCTATCCTAGATTAGATAAGAATCACCCTTGTAAGTCTCATCTTTGTAACCTATATAAATAGTAAGAAAGAGTCGAGTAAATAAATCGACCATTATTCTAAATCTCTCTCTTTCTTGTTATGTTATGGTATCAAAGCCATAAGCATCCGATTCAAGATTGTCATCATGTCTTCCACTATGTCGACCAACTCTATCAACCAATTTAACTTCGGTAAATCGGGAAATCATATTCCCCAATTGATTTCAGTTTGGTTGGATGGATCTAACTACATCGTATGGAGTTTTCAAGTTGAGAACGCTCTTCTGAGCCACGAGCTCCTTGGGCATGTCGATGGGACAACTCCTTGTCCACCTTGTTCTATGGTGAGTACAGCCACCTCGGGATCTTCTACTTTGATGGCAGAACCTATACACAGTGGGTCAAATAGGATCTTTACATCTTCAGCTGGCTATTATTCTCTCTAATAGAAGTAGCACTAGTACAAGTCTTAGGAAGCAAGACATGCAGAGAAGTTTGGGTAACTCTTGAGAATCTATACTCTCCTCGAGGAATAGCTAGTGTTGTTGACCTCAGGAATGAATTTGGAGCATTACGAAAGAATGATCTTTCCATGACTAATTATCTTCAAAAGCTCAAAGTGTTTAGTGATAAGCTAGTCGCAATTGGGGAACCATTGACCAATTCGCAATTAATTCATCATATACTCAATGGTCTTGGTCGAGACTATGATGCTTTTTCTATAGCAATTATTACCCGAATAGATGAGATATCATTTGCTATTTTACATGGTATGCTTCTAACTCATGAGAATCATTTGCTTCGTTCAGTAACTTCATCTACACATGCTAGCTCTCCTTCAGCGAACCTTGCCTCCAAAAACAAGGATTCCAAGCCTCAATCAAAATACAATTGACTTGAACTACCTCAAAACTGGTAATGAATCTCCCAAACCTTCCAAATACAATAATAATCCTTGTCAGATTTGTGGAGGACAAAATCACTCTACTAGATACTGTCGAAAACTTCTTGCACACATTGACAATCTAAAGAATCCTAAACGCCAACAACCTCTGGGGTTTATTGCTACATCAGGTTGTGATAAGCTACATTTAGAGCCCTCCTATTCTTGAAGAGGTTAAAGAAGCACTCTTTCAAATGAATCCTCACAAAGTTCCAGGTCCTGATGATTACTTTGATTTTGGACTTCTATCATTCTAAACATTTATTGAAAGAGCTCAATAACACAAGTATGTTCTTGATACCTAAAGTCAAATCTGCAGTGGAACCTTCTCAATTCCATCCTATAACTCTCCGCAATGTATTAATTATATATGGTTAGCAGGTTCAAACCAATTCTCCAAGATCTCATTCCCTTAATCAAGTTGGTTTCTTAAAAGATGGACAAATTTCAGATAACATATATTACTATCCCAAGAAATCCTACATACCATGAGCAAACACTAGGTAAGTGTTTCCCTTACCTGGTAAGTACATTTACCTATGTTCTTTTTTTGTTTCATTTATCCAGGTAAATCAAGTTCCTTATTTTCCCATGTTCTTTTGCAACACCCACTTTCCTAGGTAAATTGTTATTTTTTCATCTTTTTTCAATTTTACCCTTTGGCATAAATCCATGCTTTTTTGGACATTTTGTCTCATTAACACATAACCTGTCGAAATAATAGGTTGAATAGCCTACTCAACTACAATCTGTCCAAGTAAAAAATTCAATACCTTGTTTAACTATAACCTATCCGAACAATAACTCATTCAATAACTGGGTCAATAATTGTTTGCATATCGATTTTGCCCACCAAACAATAACTCATTCAATAATTGGGTCTCATTCAACTATAACCTATCTAAACACCCACTTGTTTCTTTGTTTGGTGGGCAAAATTGAATTGGGTCAATAGTTGGCCCCTCCAAATGGAACCTCTGGTTCTAGTTAGGAACAATGGAAGAATATTTGCTACTTTTCTTAATCCATATCAATATGATTGTATTCTATGAAAAGGATTTCAAAAGCTCCAATTACAATATCAACTTGCTAGGCTAATCTAGCAAAGTGTTTTGTGTTTCAATTAACTCTCTACATGGCTGAGTAGGTCTGCTTAGCCACACTCAATTTGTGCAAAACATTGCCAAAGATATCATAAAACATAATTTTGGCATCACTCTGACTGAGTTGCAGACATGAACCCTTGCCCATCATAGTAGAACTTCACCCCATCTTGGTTCAATCCACCAAAATCACCCCTCCATGCTCTTGAACCTCCTCCACTGGTTAAAAATAAAACCAACTTCTCTTCTTCACAAGCAACTCCTTATCATATCAATGGTCATTCCCATTCATGTAGAAATCAACATTGTTGGCCTGGAAATTCAGGAAATTCATTATGTGTTCAATAAATGAAGTTTTAACCATGAATTCTTCTTTCTTCGATGTTTTCAAGTTTCAACCTCCCATTCTTCTTTTGATTACTTACCTCAAAGATTGGAAGAAGCTGCTTGACTATTCTATGGAATAAAAAACAAAAATAATAATAAAAAAAATATGCACAAATTTGAGGTCATGCAATGAAAGGTTTCTTGTATTTAAAGGACAATTACAAACAAAAACAACAAAGGGGAAAGTTCTGCAAAGCCAAAAGTGGCAAGAAATCTCTCTCACCTAATACACCCAAAACGTGCAAAGGCGCAATTATCTAGCAGTTGCAATGAAAAGACATTGTGGGGGTGGGGAGGTCTGGGAGGCATGCAAAATTTGTAACCCAATTAGGAAACCTTGAGAAACCTAATTCAGTATTATAAAAGCTAGTTAGTTTTCTAAGGTTATATATATGCTGTTGAATTTAGACACTGAGTTTTGCAAAGATCTCCTGTGGACATGGGCACAAAATGTTGAACCACATTAAATCTTGTGTGTTCTCTTTTTTTTTTTCATTTCTTTTGATTTCCCTCATAACAAACATATTATATGTATCAAATACATCAAGTGTTCCACTGTTTAGTTGCACTAATGAGTTGATCATTATCAGGATTATTCACTGATAATTTGCAAAGCATTTCCTTTGACTTAATTGTGAGGCAGTCATTTTCCTAATTGAGGCTAGCTCAAGTAGAGGTAGAGTGTATTTGAACCTTTGGACCACTATTCATCCAGGTCATGAGAATAAGTCAACCTAAGCCCCTAGGCCAACATGATCCCCATTACCCCAGAAGTCCAAGGCTTCCAAATTATCTTCACTGTCCCCACACCACTAATTCTAGATAGCTTTGATAACTAAAGGAACCATCAATGTTAAACTTGGCAGTATACTGAACAAAAAACATCACAATCTCCAGAACATGATAAGTAGGATTATAGAACAAAGTCTAACAATTGGATCAATCACTATCTCCAGAACTTGATAAGCAAGACTACAGAACAAAGTCTAACAATTGGATCAATAGAGAAGTGAGGGAAAAGAAAAAGAAAACCCAAGACTATCAGAAACCAAAACCTAATGACCCACATTGATATGGGCTAAATAGATAATTACAAAGGATGGACTATTATATCTGCCAGTTAGATTTTCCAAAATGCCCTAGATAAATGCAATAACAAAAATAAAAAAATAAAAATAGAGACACTACAACAAAAACGGTCAAAGCCGGCAGTCGGAGAACCACCGCCTTTGACACTTAAACTGTGCGGCGGTCATGAGTCCGCCCCCTAAGACACTGCCGGATTAGGTCAGGACCGCCAGCTTAGACTGGGAAGACCACCGCCTTTGAGGACCTGTCCAACGCAGTCCAACCATACCTAAGCCGGCGGTATGTCGCAAACCGCCGGCTTAGAGTTAATAAAGGTGGCGGTCTTTTAGGTCCGTCGATATGTTTATTCCATTTTTAGGTGGCAATCAGAACTTCCACCTTAGACCTCTTCGGACCGCCGCCTTAGGTCTATCAATATGTTTATTCCGTTTTTAGGTGGCGGTCAGAACCGCCGCCTTAGACCTCTTTTATGTCTAAGGCGGCGGATGCATGACTGCCGGCTTTGATTTTTTTTTATGTTTTTATTAATATCAATTTGATTTCAACATTTTTTGCACCTGTTTAATACAAATCTCATGATAGATAATGCATAAAAATCAAATTAAATAAAAAACATTTAATTAAATTAATAATTATTATAATATCCAAAAACAGATTGCTTAATTACAATATCCAATTAACATAAAAAAGTACAAAAACAATATAAATGCAATATAAAAGATGTATTTCCATTCAAATCACAAATTAATACATGTTAAGTTTAGAATGAATACGAATTCTCTATTACAAATTAATACATGAAAAACATCATGGCATTATGCTTGTGTGGGCTCAAGAACAATAATCAATGGAACACCAACAATCGGAATGCCAGATGTCAGTGATAAAGCCTCTTGCATGCTTCCCAATTTCATGCATGCCTAGATTTCCGAAATTGAAACCACTCCTTAAAGCATCAAGAACTCTTCTATGTTGCTGCATCCACATATGATATGATGATTAGACTGAGGAATGAGACTCTCTTTATTAGGCTCAGGTCATGGCCGTCATTCTGCAGGCATATATGATATGATGATTAGACTTTGAAGCAGATATATATAGAGAGAGAGAGAGGTGCCAAAAAAACAATTTGGGTATTTTTTACAGTTATCTATAGGTATCATAGTCAAGAACAGGGTTTACTCTGTTTTCTATCAGATCCAAGCCCACAAGAATTGGGCCCTAAAATGGTGATCACCAATATTGATGGGACTTGGTTCTTGAACATATGCCCAACAAATCCAATATGGACTTGCTCTATTGAGATGGTTAACCTTCCTTATGTTCCGAGTAAAAAGACACGTTCCTGCTATGGACTTTGATGTGGAAATACATGGGTAGTGATTAAATTATACATAGTGTTTTACATGTTTTTGATACCAAAAGCAGAAAGGGATATACATATTAATTCCTTCTACACACTTTATTTGTAGTGAACTAGTGATACCAAAAGCCTCTTCCATCTGGGTAAACTAAGATCTTTCTTTGAGCATTTCCCAAACTAGAAAAAAATTAATCTTTTAATCTCTAGTATCACCATACCAGTGGAAAGCTGTAAATGATAGGGTGCAGGGATTATGTGAACTAGTAAAATGCATTCTAATGCCAAGTGTTATGTGAACTGGTAAAGCAGACCCTGCATAATGCATTGTATTCACTTGGCAATCTGTATTTACATGCTCTAAGGCTGCATTTGGCATTCCTGCATAAGGCCCGTTATTATTGAGGAGCCAGCTGGAAATCTGGATTTGGTCCTCACACTCTCCATTCTACTCCAACCTTTTCAGCCATACATTGAGAAGATCCATCCATTGATAAAAATATACTAGTACAGAGATGTTTTCTAATGCACGACTGTGAAATGTTGTGAAAACAGTGTAAATATAAATATCTATAGAATAGATATTATAAATACAAATATAAACTTGTATTTGAAAAGAGTACAAATGCAAATATGTACAGTTCAAAGCATTACATTTTGTATTTTTAAACCTATATTTTGCACCATACATATTTGCATTTGTACCCTATCCAAACTAAGCCTAAGAAATGCACATGCAATGGGCGGTCCTAATCTTTGATCATATATCACATGGATTCTTAAACATGCAAAATATGGGACCTGTAAGCCAAAATTATATATTCTAGAGGGATATATAATCTATAATCTCTATATATAAAAGAGGGAGTTGCACTCTTCTTTTTTGTCCTATGAAAAGAAGAAAAGAGAGGGTAGACCTGTTGCTGCAACTGATGCCTTAGAGGAAGTCCTATGGTGTATGTTGTTTGAAGATGACATGGCTTTGGTTAATAAGACTAAAGATTGATTAGATTCAGTTCAGGATATATGCTTTAAAGTGTAAGGTTTAGAATAGAATTAAGTTAAGTAAACAGAAAATATAGAAAGTAATTCTAGCAGTGTTATCAATGTGGTTAATGATGACTAGTCATTTTGGCCTCACTAATTAAGTTCTTGAGTAAGCCTGCTTAAACTAAAATATCATTCAGGTTGAAAGGACTCCTCATAGTGGGGTCTCTTAACCTACGTGTTGTACGAGAAGACCCCTCTCCAACATGCCCACTAGAGGACTCCTCATGCCTTCCCAAGTCTGGTGACTGGGTTGGTGATGTAGTATCATCAACGTTAGGTGTTGACCCAGTATGAGCCATCGATTGACTTGCATGTGCCCGTGTATCTTCTATATTGGGTGTGTTACTAGTGGTCGGGCGAGACCCTGATTTACTTGTTCGTGATGGTGTCCCCTTTTCTTTTAGTTTCTTCAATATATTCATTTTAACCTGTTACAAACCAATGGGGTACAGAGCTTCAAAACCCATAAATTCCTCTTAACTCAGAAAAGAAGATTCATACATTTTTCTTACTATAATATAATGCAGCTAACTACAAAATTTGACATTATCGTGACATTATCTTCTATAATGCAGCTAACTTGATCTCATTATTGGCTTACATTTTACCAATTGAAGCAAATGTGCATTAATTATTCTAATTTTCTTTCTCAATTTCCTTTCCTTCCTTGTTTCTCATGTATAAACTGTGTTTGAATACTCAAACTAAATATTACTAAAGCCAGGGGTGTAAATTAAACCATGCCTTCTTTAGTGGCTGTCATTTGAGAGGGCCTTCACACATGATAGATTTTGAACTTGCTAGCTAAAAGGAAGATATTCCAGCAGCAAAAAGAAAGGGTCTTAGGATCATCTGATTGATGTGATTTTTGTCAAAATACCAGTCACAAGTGGGGACTAATCAAGCAAATATATGGCTTGGATGCATGAATATGTGAATATTTTTCATTTTTGAATGCTAGCTATGCCTAAGTTGTTTTGTGGGTCATTTTGGTATAAAAAGAGGAGCATGGTCTGAAAAACATATACCATAATAATAATTATAAGGTACATTAGTTAATAAATAGGCTCAAAATTTTGGAAGCATACTTCCAATTAATGGGTATTCCACTAATTTCTTAAAACTAAGGAAACAAATATGTTAGTTTTAATGTATTTTTTGAAGTAGATCTGATCAGATCATCAGGACTTCCATATAAATGCTATTGTTAAAAATTGTACTATTAAATGAGAATTCTTGATAAGCAAGCAAAATGATCTCAGTTGAGAACAAAATGAACTTGTGCATACAGTGCTAATGAACCTTAGTCATTTGGTTTAAAGAACTTGTGGTATACACTTCTAGGCTAATGAACTTGTGCTATTTGTACATACAGTGCTAATGAACTTGTGGTATATACTTCCAGGCTTAGCAGGGCTGGCAGCTACCTATGGTTTGATGTATGCAATGGTTGCACAAGACCCGATATTGCGGGCAGGTATCTTGCCAACCTAGGCAAGGAACACTCAACACCCATCAAGTAGATTTTTAGATACTTAAGAGATACTTTTAAGTTATGGCTATGTTTTGGAGGCTCAAAATAACCTGTTCTGGAAGGCTATACAGATTCGGATTTAGCAATAAACCTTGAGTCAAGGATATCTACTTTGGGGTACTTGTTCACTTTTGCAAGGGGAGACAGTTTAACCTAGAAAAGAAATATTATGGATGAAAAGGTTTCTTAAAGAACTGGGTTTGTCACAAGAGAAGTATATGGTATACTAAATTCATGCTCAACTGTACCCTCCTTGGTTCTTTAGTCTTCCCAGTGAGGTAACTAGCCTTAGCTGATTAGCTCTTGCAGTAATATACAATTTTATACTCTTGGCCTACTCCAAGTAGTTCATGCTGGCAAGAGGGACAATGACAATTGGAAAATGTATGCTATCCATGTTGTTGCTAGACATGGGTGATGAAGATGAAATAACCAAAGTAGCTGAATCCTCATCAGCCATTGAATCAGTCCAAGTTCACTGCAAACAAACACTTACACCACCTGAAACTATGACTACAGCTCCTAACAAGACTCAAGTACACACCTAGAACAAGCAACTAGCACTTGAAGATGCTGTACCACCCACTTAACAGGTCAGTGAAAAGGTTACACCTAGAAAATAAGGTTGTAGGACGAACACCCTCTTGATAGGAAGAAAAGGAGCACCTAGCACTGATAAACCATTTCAAACCAAGAGGAAACCCTCCAACAAGCAAGAAGAAATCTGTTTCTCAGATTTCAATGACCAAAAACAGAGTAGGACACACCTCTTGCATCACTTAAACCATACATAAGCCCCTTAACATATCAAAAAACTGCAATTGGTATACACCTCTGCAGCTAAACAGACCTTCATTCCATTAAATCCATGCAGCCATGGGTCAATGATCCCTTATTTCTTCATTAGAAAATACTCAGCCACCAGAGAATAACCTCCCTTGGTTCCACACCTCTTGTTTACAGGTTGCTCCCACCGAACAGTAACACCTAACATCAAAGGCAGTTCTTAAATATCACATGCCAAAGCTACTACTTTTTTTTTGAAGAGTAAAGTGAAAATTCATTAATTGAAATAAAGAAATACAATCCGAGAGGTGACAAGATGGCACCTCACCATACAAAACAAAGCAACTCTAAACTAAAAAGCAAAAACTGATCCAAAGCTACTACCTAATACTGTGTGCTTATTTTAAACATAATAAAGAGTCGTAGTTGAAATTTAAAGCATCACCAACATTTGATGTCAGATACCTCATTAAAGATATAGCATCCTTTTGACCAATGCTAGAAAGCTCTGCCTGGGAATGGTATTTATAACCTTGACAGGAGAAAACTAGGATCTGGTCAGGAAATGGTAATATCTTTAAATTTGACTTTATCTCGAGTTAACCAAGGTCATCAACTACAAATCCAATTGTTTTCCAATCCTTCAGCAACTAGGCATGTGGTCAGTGCTAGTACACTCTAGACCTTCAAAACAATGATGTTTTGAAAGAAAATAAAATTTTCAATTGAGCATATCCTGATGTGCATAAGGAATGTGAAGCATCAAAAAATGCCCTGACAAGAATATGGTAAGTTACTGAATAATCCAGCCCCATCCCAGACAATCAAGATCAGTTCCCAAAACTAAAAGATTTAAACTAAAAACAAAAATTGCTAGAATGAACATCTTTTAACGAAGAAATTATTGTCTGTAGATGATTGTAATGGATGCTTAAAAGATGAAAAAGAAACTAGCGATAGAATAAGGGAAAATAGTAGTAAACCCACCTTGAGAATGGTAGAGGAGGAAGAAAGAGGAGGAAGATGGTCAGCTGGTTCTCACTTCTCACTGTTCATTGCTGCTGAAATTTCTCCTCTTGCTCAAACGGATAGAGATCGCCCAGAGAATGGCCCAGAAATTTCTCCCTTCTCAAGCATGGATCTTTCTTCTTCTCAAACTTCAGTATAAATAATTTTTTTGTGAAGGAATCTATTTCGACTGCTGCTACAGTAGTCCGAACAGAAAGAGGAGAAGAAGAAGAAGAGAAGAAGAGGGGTCAGTCGAAAATCTGATGGTTAACCCATCCAGTCGACCCCCTTAATCTATATTAGCTTCTAATCATGTTTACAAAGACAGAAATGCCCTTACTTAAGTGTGGGGCAGAGTAACTCTAATAACACAGCCACATAAGCAAGTTACTTAATAAACAGAAAAAGACTAAACTACCCCTATTCGACACATCTTAACAGAATCTTTCCCCTTCTCAAACGGACAGAAGTCTGCTATCTTTCTTTCTCGTGAAGAAGCTGTCTTCTTCAAAAATTTTCTGCAAGGTTCTCTCTGAAAAGAGAACCCTCCTATCTTGTCGAATAGGAAAGACTTTGCGTGGGAGAGAAAATTTTTTGCTCTCCCGCGTTAGATTGGTTTGTTGTAAAATCCGCCGATTCAGTAAATGATTAGACCGGTTCATTGTAAAATCCGTCGAGTCTATTAATATAAACCGCCGCGGCAGCATTTAAAACCAATGTAGGCGGCAGTCTTTCATAGCGGCGGCCAGAAAGACCGCCGACTCTAAACCGTCGGGTTAGACCATTTTTCTTGTAGTGAGAACAAAAGAGAATATTATAGTAACTGATCTTTGCCATCAAAAATTGCACCACACCAACACAACATGATGTCCTATATATTAGAAGGAGAGACCTAGCCAACTCCACATAAAGATAAGAAATAAGTCCAAATCAATGACACCACAAAGCATTGAATAGAAAAGCATGGTTGCATCATTCACTGTTTTTGTAACACTCCATACACCTATCAGGTTAAAAAGGTCAAGTCTTAAGATCTTACTTGCTAAAGTGCTCACAAGCTTCTATGTAATTATTCTGAAGGTAACATGTGCTTCAGCAACCTCAGGTCTTCAGCTCACTAATGTTTATTTTTAAATTGCAACACATCCTTGGCCCGTGAGATAAGAGGTACACCATAGAGAACTTCCAGATAAAGATTTCTTATAATAGAAAGTTTTCAAGAAATAAACAACTATTCTAATCACTACAATTACTGCAAGTTAGTATCCCATTATTAATTTTCTCACTGGTCTTTGGCTTATTAAAGCAAATGAACCACAACTCTGGTTCTATCCTAGACTCTAACTTAGAAATAAGACATTACTTGAATATCACCTTTAAGTGTCATGAATGTTCTTCAAAATTCACATGAAAGTATAAACAAGACATTACTTTTCACTTGTTCCCACTGTTCTGTACCTATTCCCTCACCCTCCCCCCCCCCTTTTCTAAAAATAATTCTTTCAAACACAAGAAATTAGACTGATGACTCTTTTTTATCAATTCCTTTATTTTCCAATAAAAGTCCAAGGAGAACTAACATTCTGTGTAAGTTAAGATGGTTCTAATATTTATATCCTAATTCACAATCTCCATCAGAAAGCCAAAAAAATATCTCCATCAACAAGAATAATATAATTATAGTTCCCTAATGTAACTCCAAGAGTCCTACATCATTGTAGCTCCATCAAAACCAACCCTATAAACATATATTGAGTCATATTGAATCAAAACAACTGGTAGGTTTAAAGGCTTGAGTACAACATGCTATCAAGTAACAACAAAGAAATCTTATGAGAACACACCATTCAACAGTCACACATTCTCCCCATAACGGGGCCTACAATTTCTTTTTTGCTAAGAAAACTTGGAAAGAGAATGGAAAGGGTAAAGGTGGTATTCCAGATCATTAGACAAGTAAACAAGTTTCCTTCCTTTTAGTTGATAGCACAATCAAGAGATGTGGAAAACCTAATAGCATATTCTCAACTTATGAGCACATACAACACAAGTAATAAGACAAGGTTACATGCATCTTTCTGCATAGACGATATAGTGAGATACATATCTAAACCTACAGCAAAACCGCATAGGTTATCATCAATTATCTAGTCAAAGGATTATTAGCTTTACAGGCAATGAAAAGGTTTCCTATGGAATGATTACAAAGGGAATTGAGATACTTCATACCACAGGAGAGCACTTCTAGCACCTAAAGGATCAATAGCATTCATAGTTCCACAACCTCCATGGTTTCAAAGTGCAAAAAGGAGTTGCATAATTACCACTCATAAATGTCCCTTTCCCTAGAAGAAACTCCCTTAAATCAAAAGGGTAGAAACAGTCAACAAAACTAATATGAAACAAGAAAGAAGAGATAAGTTTGTTGACCAATACAAACTAATCAATAAAGTAGAAATTGATAATTCATGACCAGTAGAAAGATCACATCTATTACCAGTCCCAGACAAACCTTAGCTGATCTACAAAAAACTAGAAGAAACAGGCGTGGCCAGGTTAACCAATAGAAAAGGTGACCAGCGACAGCAACTAGGTGGAGTGGAGACAACAACTGGGATGATCAATGCTGCCAGCAATAGAGGGAGGATGGTGATGACAACACTTCAACATTTGCGATGACTTGATGGAGCAGCTGCGGTGGCAGAGAAGCAGAACTCAGAGATACGCAACAGCGATGGCAGAAAAGAAGAACTCAGCATTCTCTACCTAAAAGAATCAATGGTAGAGAAGAAGAAAAGAGTGGAGGAGAAACGCAGAGCTGATTTTCGGAGAAGTAGAACAAAGTGAAGGAGAGAAACACAGAGGTGATTTTTCAAGAAGCAGAACGAGATACAGTTTCGAACTTTTATATCTTGTGGGGGCAATTTTGAAATTTTCTATTTTTATTTGCTTACCCTCCACTTGGGAAATCAACTTGCCCGAGTCGTAGGGTATCATTTTACCTAGGAAAGTGACACGCGGGTAAATCAAACTTACCATGGGTTCCACAAACTTTCCCCCCTTCATTTCACGGAAAACGAACATGGCATGAGAATCATGAGGTTCCCACCCAAATGGTGTAACTTCATTGAACATTAATGCTCTTAACAGCTGTTATTTTTCCTATGTATAGTACCGCATGGGTATTATTGTACTTTTACTCTTTTTTATTTTAGTTTCTATCGCCCTAATATATATATTAAAAAAGCTATGCCGATAGTAGTATCTTTTTCTCTCAGTTCTCTCTTCTCTCTTCTTCTCTCTCTCTTTTCTCTCTTCTTCTATTCTTCTCTCTTGCATAACATGGTACCAGAGCAGGACTATCAGATCTGAAAGGAGAAGTCGAGTGAACAGTTTTTTCTTCTTCGCACCGGATTTCTAGATCTGCCGCCCTTATCTGTTGTTTGACTAATTAAAGATCTCACACACTGAAGTAATTTTTCTCTCTCTCTCTTACCTTTTTTTTCTAGTCGTGTGCCAGGGCAGAACTTGTACTAAGTTTGCCGATTGGATGTGAGGTAATCATCACCTCTTTCTTTCCTTTTTTATGGGGTCGACTGATCCCTGTGAAATTGTAGGTTGTAAGGACCTTTTTGTGTGCTATAACAGCAACTTTTATGGTGAACTGAGGGTCAGAAAGTGACAAGTACCTCTTATGTGCTGCAACAACAGCTTTTATGGTGAACTGAAAGTTAGAAAGTGACCAATACTTGCTGTAACAGCAGTCTTGTTGGTGCGTAGGTCAAGAGATAACCTGTATGCAATGTGGCAACACTTGTGTTGAGCTTGTAAGTCAAGGGATGACCTGTTAGTGCTGTAACAGCACTTGTGTTTTTACAAAAGGAGGTGTGTTTCTGAAGAATGTTTCTTTTTTTTTCACTCCCCCTCCTCTTTTTGATCCTCCTCCTTTTCGTGTCTTCTTCCGTCGTCACAAAGGCCAACCAAATTCAAGAACTGTGGAGAATTCAAAAGTTGTACCTCCAATGCCATTAAACTCTTGGGGGCGGATCATACTCACTCAGGTATCTTAGTTCCCATTGATGTTCTTGACCCCATTGCAATTGATACCTCTGTTGCTAATGACCTTGACCTTCCTATTACTCACAGGAAAAGTGTTAGATCGTGCACCACTAAATACCCCATTTCTCACTTTGTTTTCTATGAAAATATTTCACCCTCTTTTTGAGCCTTTCTCACATCCATTGACAGTGTTCCTATCCCTAAGAATGTAGTAGAAGCTCTTTTAGTACCTGAATGGACAGATGCTATGAAGGAAGAAATTAATGCCCTTCATAAAAATGACCCATGGGAACTTGTAGATCTTCCTAAGGGAAATGATCTAATTGGATGTAAATGGGTGTTCACAGTCAAACATAGGGCTAATGGCACAGTGGAGAGATATAAAGCTTGTTTAGTGGTAAAGGGGTTTACATAAGTGTACGGAGTTGATTATGTAGAGACTTTTGCACCCGTTGCCAAGATGAACTCCATTAGAGTTCTATTCTCTCTTGCTGCTAATCTTGACTGGGATCTACATCAGCTTGATATCAAGAATGCATTCTTGAATGGTAACTTTGAAGAGGAAATTTACATGATGCAATCCCCTAGTTTTCAGGCTCAAGGCAATGAACAAAAGGTGTGCAGGTTGAAGAAGTCTTTATACGGGATGAAACAATCACCGAGAGCCTGGTTCAGCAGATTCCATGCAACGGTTCAACAAAAAGGATACAAGCAATGTCAATCTGATCACACATTGTTTGTGAAAAGAGGAGAAGGTAAAATTGYTGCTTTGATAGTATATGTTGATGATATAATTATCACTRGCGACTGGAAGGATGAAATCCAAAAGTTGAAGAGTTTTCTTGCCACACAATTTGAAGTAAAGGATCTAGGTCCTCTAAGATACTTCCTAGGAATTGAAGTTGCCCGCTCAAAAAGGGGTATCTTCATTTTCCAAAGGAAGTATGTCCTAGATTTACTCCAGGATACAGGAAAAATGGGAGTGAAGCCAGTTGATTCCCTTATTGATCCTAACCATAAATTAGGTGATAGCCAAGGTGAACCTATCAAGGATGTGAAACAATTTCAGAGACTTATAGGGATATTGTTATATCTTTCTATAACCCGCCCAGACATTGCTTATGCAGATGGTGTCCTTAGCCAATTCATGCATCCCCCTATGACCACTCATCTTGAAGCAGTAGAAAGAATCCTTCGATACCTTAAAAGGTTTCTAGGCGATGGCTTGTTGTTTCAAAGGCATAGACATTTGAAAGATGAAGTGTATATTGGTGCAGATTGGGCAAGATCCCTAAATGACAGAAAGTCAACTAGTGGCTACTGTACCTTCATAAGAGGAAATCTAGTTACCTAGAGAAGCAAAAAGCAAAGTGTGGTAGGTAAGTCCAGTGCTAAAGCTGAATATTGAGCAATGGCTCATGGAGTGGCTGAAATTATGTAGATAAAGAATATATTAAGTGAGTTGGGTTTTCTAGTGGACAGACCTATGACCTTATTCTGTGATAACAAAGCAGCCATAAACATTGCTGTTAACCCTGTGCTACATGATAGAACCAAACACATTGAGGTCGACAAGCATTCTATCAGAGAGAAGGTTATCACAGGAGAAATGTGTACTCCCTATATCAATATTAAGGACCAACTTGTAGACATCTTTACAAAAGGACTACACCATTCACGACATCATGATTTATGTGACAAGTTGGGTATGACTGACATCTATGTCCCAACTTGGTGGTTGAACACCCGAATTAGATAAAAGACAGTGGCACACTTTTTGGATTTTCACCAAACATAGATAGATAGCTGCTGGAACCAATAATATAACACTCAACACCAGTCATAAAATATATGGGGCCTACAACCACTCAACCTCTCAGTGTGAACCCTATGTATTTTATCACTGGTGTGAAGCGTTATTATTGGTTCCACAGCCTATCATGCAGCTAAAGCGTTAAGCTAATCCAAATTCAGTTATGACCAACGTTTTAAAAAACGACCCGGAAATGGAACCGTTCTGGGCACCAGTTTTTGGGTCAACGGTCTGACTGTCCGGTTCGAACGGACAATCCATTCTGATAGCAAAATTAAAAATAATTAAAAAATAAAAAACAGTCAAAAACTGTTGAACGGATCAACGGTTCGACCGCCCGGATCAACGGTTTATTGACTTTTTCAATGGTTTTTGACCAGATTCTGGGTTTTGGGTAAAACTGAACCAGTTGCCTGGACGATTCCCGGGCCAAACAGTCCGACCATCCGAGTCAGCGGGGGTTCGAAAACATTGGTTGTGGCGTTCCTATGGAGTCAAATAAGCCACATCCCAAAAATCCTCCCAAACGGGGCGGCACCTAGTGCTCTTGCAAGTTGCACCTCTAGAATAAAGTGATTTATACTGTAGACACTAGACAATGATTGCTCTTGTCCATTACTACACAGTACACCATATAGATACCATTTTACCATCAACTCAACTTTTATCTCTCTTTTGTCTGAATTTCTTTACTGCCACCATGACTCCACTTAATAACAAAAGTAGTCATTTCTTACCTTCAATTCTCCTCTTTATCATTCCATTCTTCGTCATCCTCATATTCAGTCTTCATTTGGGTAAGAAGTCGCCCTCATCTCCGGTAAGTAAGCTGTCGGCATGCTACCCACTAATCGGCTCTACGTTTACCATCTTCAAGAATCTGAATTAACGAAACCAATGGTTTCCAGAGCTTATTATCAGACTCCCCTACTGGAACTTTTGTTCTCATCGCTATTTTGGTGTTCGTCATGACTTAACTGCCAACCCCTCCAACGGCCAAACCCAGTTCCAATATCACTATCCAAAAGCCCATACGGCTCGAGTAGGGGTGTCAGTAATTGGACTGGATTTGATCCAGTCCGATTCAGCCTGATGTGAGTCCATTAAAATAGACCAGGTCGTATTCAATCCAATTAATATTTTAGATTGGTCGAATTCAATGTCTGGACCATCCAATTTGTTCAAATTTATTTTAATTTAAATTAATTTTAACTTAAACCTGGTCTATTGACACCTATATTCTTATCTTTTATAAATGAACTAGATATTAACTCAATTCAATATAAATTTATTATGAATGGATCAGGTCCAATCCAATTCAATAAATATTTTGGACATGGACTGATCCATTTAATATCTTATTACTCCATCCAATCTGTTTAAATTGATTTTGGTTTGAATGGGTTCAATCCAAAACCGATCCATCGACACCGCTAAATCACTAACCACGAGTTCAACAGGAGGTCTCTCCGGTGAGGCATTTGATGAGCTTTGTATCATTCATCAATAATCCAACCATGTTCTTAGCTAGATTAACATTTGGCAAATAGACAATATACTATCAGGATTAGTGACCGCTTGATTCAATATTAATGGACAGTTCTCAATCTGCTGGATCACCTGGTTTTTTGAACATTAATCCCATATATTGACAAGCCATCGTCTCAACTTTCAAACAATGCTCAATCACCCATCAGAAAAAAAGAGACCAAATGAATGTTGTCAATCAAGGATAAATGCCAAATTAAGCTTTAATTAAAACTAAGGGGTTGTTGTACTTGTACATATGCAATTCTCTTCTTTTACTCTTGCTATTGATTTGAGATAGGACCCCTTAAAACACTACAAAACAAAACATAGGCAGATCCAGTCTAAAATTACTCTCTACTATTTACAATTTACAAATGCTTTGTCCAGCCCTAGTCACAATCTATTCCCCATTAACCATCCATGAATGAGAGAGCTGGTTGGAGGGTGTTTTTTTTTTTCTTTTTCCAAAAAAGACCTCTTGTCTTGTTCCAGACTTCCAGTTGGTTTGAAAGTAGAATTTGGTGTGGTTGAAACCACATGTTGTGAACCATACCACACACCTCCAGATGAAAATGACCACAAGATTTTACCTGGACAAATTGTCATGATACTGATGAATGATGACACCCCAAAACGAACGTCCAATATGTGTGGGCCATGTGGATTGTGGAAAGTTTCAAAACCAATAAAAATCTAAGGTGTTTGTTAAATTTTGAATGGGCCTGGCCCAAAAGTCCAATGCAGTAAAAATTCCTCAAATCGGGTACTCAACTTACACCCCATAAACTATTGCATGGTTAACTGTGAGACTGTGTTTTTGATGAGGTTTTTTATAACATTCAGTAAACTTCAAAAAAAAAAAAACATGATTGAAATAAATCTAGTGACATTTTAAAAATGTTTAAAAAAAATCTTTTTTACCCCTTTTAGCCACCTTCTTGTATATCATATGGAGAAAATTATTGTAATTTACATTTTGTACTAACTTAGAGTAACTAGCAGCCATACTTAGAGTAACAACTTATTGGATTCACGGGCCATCCATACTTAGAGTAACAACTAACAGCTAAGGGTGCACCTTGGGCGGGTCCAATCGGAGCCCAAACCCATTCAGCCCAAATTTTTACACGGGGTTTTCTATTTTTCGGGTTCGGCCCAAGCCTAATCTTATGTAGCTTGAACTTAGTCCGACCTTGTTCCAATTCAAGTTTAGCCTGATTATACACATTGATTCATATATATAGATAATTAGATATGTATTTATATATATACATATATACATATTTATATACATATTTTGGAGTTGATTTATTAACCAATCCGAATACATCAAATTATAATGTTAATTGAACTTAATTAAGAAAATCAGGCTTCACCTTGAGCTCAATTCGGGCTCAGGCCTTAGGGGCCCAAATCATAGGGTTAAGCCTGGATTCAATATAAACCCGACCAACCCACCCAACTTCAATCCCCACAAAACAAGAAACAGCCCTATAAAGTAAAGGGTATGGATAGCCTAACTTGGATTTGGATCCGGACTTCGAAAAAAAACACAATATACAATGCCCTTAGGGATGCAAAACAGATCAGATCGGATTCGAATCAGGGGTATATCTGAATCCAATCCGATCCAAAGATATGATTAGATCTGATAGGCCGCAAATTGAATTTAAATCCTATCAACAAGTCGAATCTTCAGATCTAATCCGATCCAACTTGTTTTCTTTAAATATTAATAAATTATTAAAAGAAAAATAAAATATACCAATTCAAATAGAAAAACAAATAACACAAGTATTTTTTTAATTATATTCATCATATATATATATATATATTTATAAAAATAATAATATAACAAATTTATAAAAATACAATATAAATAATATATCTATAAATAAATAAATAACATATATATGTATTATATATTTATATTTATAAATATATAACATATATGAGATCAGAAATGAGATGTGATCCAAATCCAATCCGATTTCTGATCGGATCATATTATCCTATCCAAAAATCCGAACAAGTGTGATCCGAATTCAATCAAATAAGATCGGATCCGATCCATTTGCACCCCTAAATGCACTTATGCATCCAATGTAAACGCTCATAAGTCATAACTTCACCCCTATGAATTCAAATCCGACCCACTAACGCCATCTTCTCTGTTGATAAATTCGATGTCAAGATCTAATCGAAGAGGGGACCTTATTAGGGGTCCTAGTAAACTAGAATCTGCCACGTGTCGTGCATGCTCTCCGTCACTGTAGTATCGGAACATTCTAGATTCTTTCCATTGATAATCCAGACCCTATAAAAGCGTCTGTGTTAATGGCGGAGTCCGATTCTCCGTGTCTGTGGACTGTGGCTTTCATCGTGGAGAGAAGACAAAAAGAAGGATAAAAAAGAACAGAAGGAAAGATGATCGAAGTGGTGTTGAACGATCGGCTGGGGAAGAAAGTTCGGGTTAAATGCAACGAAGATGATACCATTGGAGACCTGAAGAAGCTGGTTGCAGCCCAGACAGGGACCAGAGCCGATAAGATCAGAATTCAGAAGTGGTACACCATCTACAAGGATCACATCACCCTCAAAGACTATGAAATTCATGACGGCATGGGCCTCGAGCTCTACTACAACTAGTTGGTTATCACCATGTGAGTCGCAGTTCTCTTTATGTCTGTTTTTCTTTCGTTCGTTAGATGGTCAGAAGATTTTTGTGGAGAATTATTTGATTCTGTGATATGAGTTTTATCAGAATAGTTTCTTTCTCTGGTTAGGATTTGTGTTTATCCTTTTTTTTTTTTGCTTGGTTTAATTTTAGTTTTGCCACTTCGATTCAAGCGAAGCTAGTTATAATTGTTTCATACTTTCATTCTGGGTGCTGGGTTTTGTAAGGCTCCTGCGTTAATAGTTTTGTTTGTGTTATCCCTTTTTCTTCTTTGGGAGTTTTTCCTAATCATGGTGGTGGCTAAGAGTAACGAAAATCTATTTATGAAATCTTGTGTTTTGAGATCTATTTCTTGCTCAGTGATTCTCTTACTCTATTTGGTTGTTTGTAAAATGGTTGTTAATATTCCACTAATCCTCTTATGGTGGGTCCACAAAGTCTGTGTTGTTTGAATTTAGGGTTTTTTATTTAGAGTTTAGACGGTTAGTGGTTCTCTGTTTCCTCCTTAGCACCATTAGTTTATTTGGAGCTGTGGAGCGTATTGAAGGTTTAGTATTTTGTTCTCTCTGAGTGTGTCATCAAGTTTTAGCCAGATACCTTTCCATATTCCTCGATGAGGGGCAACAGAAATTTCTTACTAGATAATACTTTCCTATAGGCAAAAGCAGACACAGAAGGCCTGCAAATAGTCTCTGGCCCCTTTATTGAGCTAAGAATTGATGCCAATTACAGTTGGCTACTCTTTTAATGGGAAAAAACTTTTCTGCCTTAAATTTATCACTATTTATTGATCCAAACTACACAAGTTTCTCTCCCCAATTAACAAGGTCGATGAATTCCAGTGGCTGTTTTACATCATGTATTTGAAGCAATAACTGGTAATATAGTTGCACTATTGGACTACTGAATCATGATTGACATTTGGCTAAAGCTTGATCTCCTTAATTCTGATTCAAGCAGCCTGGCTCTGCTTGAATCAAGTGATTCATCTATGGAGGATGAACCAAGGACGCTCCACACAGACCTGCATTCTCAACACTTTAGCTTCCTGCTGCAATCTATCCCACTGTACAACAGGGATTCTCCTCATAACTTTCCCTTGTGGGAGCATACACATGTTAATCCCATTACCTACCTCAATTTAGTAGGGGATTGATCTCAAAGGACCCTGTCATTTAAGACTTAAGCATCAATTGATCTTGTAAGAGAAGAAGCAACTGGACCTCCTAACTGTTTAAGAGAGGTTTTTGCCCCATCAATTCCTGCTCTAGAACTATTTGCAATTTGCAGAACTTCTCCATAACTAGAGAAATGTATGGTGCTTGATCAGCAAAGGATTGGAATCCTCTAGTTTTTGTGAGATGATATTGTCTTAGACGATACACAAGTTAACTATACCTAGATTACAAGTGGCTTCTCCAATCTTGTACATCATCATAGGAATACTGTAGGACAGAGGAAAGTGGAACAGTGTAGTTAAAACCCGAGCAGAATGCAAAGGTGAAGATGTCGAATCCTGTTGAAGACCTAAATGCAATTCCTGCCTCTGAAGGAGGCTTGCCTAATTGCATGAATGTCTTTTCCATGACATTGTCATGTGGATGCTTTCTCCTTTATTTATTTATTTTATTTTATTTTTTGCCAATTTCTAATTGATCCTTTTAAGAGGAGGGACAGCATAGAAACCAATATTCCTGAAAAATAACCATGTAAAAGATTTTAAAGATGGAAGTAGCAGCAGCAGAAGCTTACATAAAGATTCCATGAAAATAGGGAGATCAAGAGAAAGGAAAGAAAGGATAGTTCTACAGGAATCATCACCAGTAAGAACATGTAATCACACCTATGCCTGTGAAAACCATGTGAGGTTGAGGTTCCTAGATGGTGCTGATTTCACTTGGTTGCTTATAATCATGCATAATATGCAAGATAGTGGTTCTATCATGATTTACATTGTAGTATTTTCCTCAAGGATGTAATATAAAGACCAAAGCTAGGATGAATCCAGGCAAAGGTGTTATTATTATTGGATTATGTAACCCTCCATAAATTTATGTGGTTTTTAGTTTGTAGTGTCTGCTGTCAAATGGCTCATTGATATGCATTGTCTTCAGTTTTCTGAACTCTGGCTGTTCTATTCCATTACAGGTCCATACACAGAAGAAAGCACCTATTGAGTCTGTCATCCGTTGGGAGACTTTAGCCATAAAAATACATATGACTTTAAAGGGGCGTGCAAAGTAGCATCAATGTCTTCCTGTCTTTATTACATGGACGTGATAGTGTTCTGAGCTTGGAAACTCAGTATGACAGTATTGGCTATATCAATATTCAATAATACTTCATTTCTTACTTTAGATTCTTGCACTAGTTCATTCTATAGGATTGTCTTCATAATCAAGGATCTATAGTTGGGTGTTTGGTTAGAAGATACTCAAGGATCTTTGCAAATTTTGGTCTGGTACACCATCTAACTCACGCGCCCTATTCCACCTGGATTAAAAGAGCAAGTATTTGGCTCTGAACAAATGCTTCAATTTCAAATCAATGCTATGTTGCCTGTATGCATTGTTGACTAGGGGTGTCAATGGACTGGTTTTGGGTTGGACCCATCCAAATCAAAATTAATTTGAACGGACAGACCAATAAGACATTGAATTGGACCAGTCCAGATTTAATGGTCCAAAGTATTTATTAGATTGGATTGGACCTGATCCATCCTTAACGGATTTATATTGGATTGGGTCAGATTGAACCATATCCGGTCCATTGGAATAGGTTTGAGTTTGGAACCAATCTAAATTAAAACCAATTTGAACAAGACATTGAATTGGGCTGCTCCAAAATGGTTCAAAGTATTCATAGTATTTGATTGGACCTGGACCTGGTCTATTTGTAAGACTTGTATTGGACCGGATTGGATTGGACTAAATTTTGTCAAATTGACACCCTCATTTTTGACAACTTAGGTTTTGTTTGGCCAAACACATGTTCCACCGATTAAATTGAGGTTGGTAAAGACAAATGACATTTCTTGAATCACAAAAGTGACATTGAATTTTGAGAAAAAAGGTAAAACAAAACCATTTTAAATGCCTAACTAGCATGCATCTTCACCATGGATGTTTGTTTTTTTTAAAAAAGTAAATAATCGGGGGCTTGGTGTTCTTGATTCTTGGTGAAATATAATGCTTAAGAATTGCAATGGTTTAAAACAAGTTTTACTAAATTGAAGGTTTAATGCATTCATTAAACAAAGGTTCAAATTATTGAAAACATCGTGTATTGAAAAGACAATTTTAAAAGACTTATCAGGATACATTAAGATATGCATGAAAGTATACATTAAAATGTTATGTTTTAATGGCTAAATTATAAATACAATATATTCAAAAATAATTATTAAAAAAATTCAATTACTCTATGGATGTGAAAGATCATTCATAGATTTACAACATACATAATCTTTATGAGCAAGTTACAAGAAAATATAAATAATCAAAACTTATTATTTAATTTAAAAAATTACAAAAACAGAATAAAAACATTGCACAAAGGATTTCAATTGCTCTGTGCATAAGATAGATCATCCATAGATCTAAAACATATTAAGTCTTTATAGCAAATAAAAAAATATATTTTTCAATTTTTTGTTATTTTCTATTTTTCTCAAAAATTTTTTCATAAAATTTTTATAGATCATAACACCAAAAAAAATGTGGCTTTCAATACAATAAATGTAACAAGATTTAAACATTTCCAAACATTCAAGAAGAAAAATAAGAAATCATAAGATATTATGAGAAAATTGAAAAAAAATACCTATTTTTGCAATACTTCCAAAACTTAAAAAATCTTCAAAAACCATGATGATTCACAGTTGTTTCTTGTATTTTTTTTTTTAGATTTATCACTCTAAGAATGAGGTTTGGAGTTTTAGAATCGTTTGGGGGTAAAAGAATGTTTACTTTGTGGGAAAGAAGTCTTTTTTCCCTATATTTTTTTTCGTATTTTATTGACTAATGTGCTACCAATACGCTTGATATGCCACCAATACACCATCGATACACCCAATACACCCATCGATACAGATACAATATGATGGAAAAAAGATGATACCACATTTTCCTACCGTATCTTGTATTGAGCCTTCAAAGATACAATAAGATATGTCCTATATCAGGCGTATCGTGTCAAAATTTTAAACCTTGCATTAAACCCTCACTTATGGAGCCCCAAGGTCTGAAAGTGGAGTTTGGACAATTGCCCAAAACTGAAATGATAAGGGAGGCACAATCAGGGCAGGTGGTGTTTTTCAATGTGAATTGTTTTCTTGTTTGCAGTTTTAAAAAACAAAAAAATAATAATAAATAAACCAACTAGTTTGAAAACAAATTGGTTATTAAAAAAAGGTCTTGGTTATGTATGTGTTCTCTGTTCAAAACTGATTCCAAAAATGTGATGTTGAATGTCTGGTTTAAAGATTATGTTTTCATATGTTTATTTAATATTGTTTTCTATAAAAGTATAAATCATTTAGGGGGTGTCTGACAACATGGTTGGTTAAACAAAAAAAAAATAAAGATAACATGGTTGGTTTTGTTTTTGAAAACAGAAACAAGCCACATATATACCCTAATTTTTTGTTTTCATTTTATAAAACATTATTTGATGGTTTCAAATGCATCTATTGTTTTATAAAACTAAACCAATTTATTTTATGGGAAAATTCCTGAAGAGTATCCTGAACTTTAGGGGTTGTGTCAAGTCAGTCCCTAAACTTCAAAATACCCCAAACTTTCAAATTGTGTTTAATAGGTCCCTACTGCTAGTTGGTCGCTAGTCAACACCATCACATGACATCAGATGCGCATTAAATAATTTCAAAATGACAAAATTACCCTTTATGGTATTTTTCTAACCATTTTACCCATTTTGTTTGAGTGTTAGAAAAAGGAAAGGGGGAAAAGGGTTATGAAACCGAACAGTGATCAACTGTTGAAGCTCCTGCTCCCCCGTTCAACGATCAACTGTAAGTGGAAGATCACCTGTCCGATTTTATAACCCTTCTATCCCTTTCCTTCTTTTAACACTCGAACGAAATGGATAAAATGGCCAGAAAATATTATAAAGGGTAATTTTGGCATTTTAAAATTATTTAGTGTGCATTTGATGTCATGTGATAATGTCGACTAACAATCAACTAACAATAAGGACCTATTAGACACAATTTAAAAGTTTAAAATACCATCGAAACAAATTTTAAAATTTGGGGACTGACTTGACACAAGCCCCCACAAGTTTAGGATACTATTCAAAAATTTTCCTTTATTTTTAATTTTTTGAAGAACACATTTCAAAACTTATATGACAATTTTCAAATACAAAGTAAAACAAAAACATTCATATTGTAGAACACACCCTCAGGTAACAGATACAAATTCACTCATTTGTTTCCTGGAGCAAGGGTGCTCTTAAGCTGTCATCCCTCTATGAAACAGGTCCAGCTGTTGTTAAACCAGAAATCAGCACAAACAAGCGATTCAATTTTATGAATTTTAATTACTTTTATCGATGAATCAACTACAGGATTCCAAAAATAATTCATAAATGGGATGGTTGAATGCTATGATGAGGCACTTTATTGTAGCCTGAACCCTGATTATATCCGTGTTTGAACTTCGAAAATGGATATTGCAATTCTAAATTAAATTTGGATGAGAATTGAATCTGGTAATAAACCTTGGGAACTAAACATTATATCTAATCGGAATCAGTTGTTGGGTGATGTGATGGGTCCGACTCCCTAATCTGTTAAGGCCCTTTCATATTCAGAGATCTGACTTGTTACTTGAAGCTAGAACCATTGCCTAATCCGGTGACCGGTGGTCTTTCGTACTCATGCCGGAGGCACAGTCGCCCAGAGCCTTTATCTATGAAGTTACAGACTTCATGAATTAAGGCCTTATTTGGCATCACTCCAGAGAATTGATTCTAGCAATTCTTAAAATTCGTTGAATGAGAATTATGTTTGATTGTTTGTATCATTTCCCAAAATGGGATTCTAATGAGAATAAAAAAAAAAAAACTGATTTGAAACTTGAAAGCCTGAGAATGTTTCTCAGAAGTGGAATTTAACAATTTGATTCTCACGGCCCAAAAATCATCTTAAAAGGGTTGTATCACTTCTAACAATTTGGTTGTAATTTGTAAAGTTGAAAAACTATAGAACTCAGCATAAGGAAAAACTACTGAACCAAATGTCTCTCTAATGTATTCGTTATTAATTGTAAATGTAGGCAAGAGTTCAAGGCTTGAGATGGCAGGTACCAGCAGCGAGGTTGCAGCTGCAATTTCCATGCATGAAGGAGAATCCAAACATCTGTACTTGCCATCTTCAAGAAACCCCTCAAATTGGTTAGCATTTACAATATTTTTAAGTCAGTAAAGACTAAGGGAAGGAAAGCTGTTTGTCAATTAATCTCGTCTCCTCTCTAAAAGAATAATTTGTACCAAAACTGATGAGGGCAGATTTGGCCCTCAAGTGAAATTGCGACAAGTGGCACTTCGCGACAACTAGGCGACACCCAGGCAACAAACCAAGTTGGTGTCCCGCCAGGGCACCGACCTGGCCGGCCTAGTGCGGCCTAGCACGTGGCCTGCACACTGCCTGCACGCGGCCTGCACGCTGCCTGGCACGCGGCCTGCTCACGGCCTGGCACGCGGCCTGGCGCGACCAGGGCACTGCCCTGGCCGGCCTAGTGCGGCCTAGCACGTGGCCTGCACACTGCCTGCACGCGGCCTGTGTGCTGCCTGGCACGCGGCCTGCGCGACCTAGCCGACCTGGATCAGCCTGGCACATGATCCGACCAAGCCGACCTAGCCGACCTGGATTAGCCTGGCACACGGCCCGACCTGGCCGACTTGGCAACCCATAAGACGCCCACCGATAAACTCGGCATTGCTCCCCCGGGCAGCTAGCCACTTGTAGGGTAGCTCGGTACAGAAGAGTAGTTTGGCGTATCGCAAGAAGATCTCCTGCCTGACAACCGTACCTGACAGATCTGGTGGCAGCACCCACATCTCTTGCCAGGCGGCGTTGTGCCTGCCGTCTCTGAAAAGCATGGCACGCCTGACGAGTCCGTACCCTGCAGCAACAGCCTGCACCTGTCACCTCAGTCCTGGCAGTAATGGCTTGGGCAATGGCAGTTACGCCTGATGTGACTGGGCACCACTATATAAGGACTCCGACCCCCAAAGCCAAGGGGGGAGGGAATGGAAAAATGGAGGTAATCCCTGCTCTCTAGCTCTCTCATTTCTCTCCAAGCTCTTTGCAATCAAAATGCTAACTTAGGCATCGGAGAGTCCCCGCCGGGTAAATACCCCCGGGTCCTCTAATTCAGTNATGTGACGAGTCTTACTGTTTGAAGGCTTTTCACCCACCTAACCCGCGAGGACACCACTATATAAGGACTCCGAACCCCAAAGCCGAGGGGAGGAGAAAAAAGGATGGTAACCCCTGCTCTCTAGCTCTCTCATTTCTCTCCAAGCTCTCTGTAATCAGAATGCTAACTTAGGCATCGGAGAGTCCCTGCCGAGAAAATACCCCCCTGTCCTCTAATTCAGTTCTCGCAGGTCCCTCAGCTCCCGCCGCCTACAAAGGAGAGGAGATCACCTCATGCAGAGGGTAGTCGGGTTGCGCTGCACCAGGGAGCTCCACCATCCTTTGGGTTGCAGGCCGCGTAGGAGCAGGTCAAATGACGAGTCCACCAAGAAGTTCTCCACCAGGGAGTTTGCCACCAAGTGGCTCTCCACCAGGGAGCTCGCCACCAGGTAGTTCTCCACCAGGGAGTTCGCCGCCAAGCAGTTCTCCACCAGGGAGTTCTCCACCAGGGAGTTCGCCACCAGGGAGTTCGCCACCAGGCAGTTCTCCACCAGGGAGTTCGCCACCAGGGAGCTCGCCACCAGGTAGCTCCACTAGGGAGTTCGCCACCAAGCAGTTTGCCACCAGGGAGCTCTCTACCAAGCAGTTCTCCACCAACGAGTTCGCCACCAAGCAGTTCACCACCAAGTAGCTCATCACCAAGCAGTTCGCCACCAGGGAACTCCATCATCCTCTGAGTCACAGGCCACCTGGGAGCAGGTCAAAAGACGAGGTACTTAGCCAAAAAAAATTGATACATCACAAAAATTGGTACGTGACCAGAAACGGTTATATCAAAAACGATTAAAAATTTTCCATTCTAATCGATGCAAGTTGACAATGTTCCATGGGTGTGAAATTCAGGTTGGCTCGAGTTAACATTTTACGCTGCTTCGAGTTGAATCCATTCAAATTTTGACGCTAAATCGCCCAAGTTGCACTTTTCTAATAAGCTTCGTGCACCTAGGTTTGAGTCAACCTGATCTGGATTCCGATTGATTACATTTTAGATTGAACTAGAAATAACAGCAGCACATGAGAAATTGAGTGGGAACACAAGTAAAGAAGATAAATGGCTTTTTCCTTTTTTTTTTTTCTGGAAAACAATGGATTTCTCAAAAAAAATCCTGATATTGTTTTGTCACTGTTTTGTTTGAACACAAGTAATGACAGTCTGAACACAGATGATTGGTCAAGAGGGGAGGGAACAGAGATGGGAGGTGGATGACTTCCAAGTTTGAACTATTTTTAATATTTTTTTTGCCTTAGAAACTCAACTTGGAAAATGATATGATGGTTGGAAAAATAGAAGACATTTTTTTTTTCCGAGAGGCAAGTTGAAAATGAATTTCTCGGAGAAATTCTGTTTGCTATGAACCGAAAACAACAAAATTGTCAATCTACCATTTTCTGTGGAGACTGATTTCTGAAGTTGGTTATATGTTTAACCAAACAGACCGTATATATTGTCCATTTGTCCTTTACAATTTTTTTCTTTCTTTCTTTATGTGTGGAAACATTTGGCATAGTTCCCAAAAAAAAAAAAAAAATTACTCTGTATTCTTCTGCTTGGAAGGGTTGTGCCTTGTAGATGAACCCTGGGCCTGAATAAAACCTCCAGAGCCATCTTTCTTTTGTGTTTGGTTGCAATGCAAATAAATTTGTACTGATGCAAAACCATGGCAGTGCAAATGATTCGAGTGTAAATTATAACTTATTTTTGTTTCAAATGTTAGCTTATTTTGTTTGATTGCAGTACAAATGAAGTAAATTAACACACCAAGCGGAATAAAGTAAAATCCAAAAGAAAATTAAACAAGAATTTACATTTTTTACATTTACACTCCCATGCATTTTTACTAGTGCAGATAAATTTGCACTGCAACCAAACAGAGCAAACGTCCCTCAGAGTCAGAAAGACAATGTCCGGCCACCTGATAAACAAACAGTCAAAAAGCCCCAGTAAACCAGAATTTAAACTCGGTCTATTTTCACACCGATAAATTTACAGCAGTGCAAATGATTTTTCACTGCAAACAAACGGAGACTAAAGGTTTAAAGAAATGGTACAGCATCAAATATGGAAGTCATTTTGAGGGCAAAATCATGACACAAATTTAGGAGAAAAGTAAATTATTTAATTATATAATAAAGGTGTTATTTAAATACTATTTTAAAAAATATTGAGGAGAATCAATAATTATACCATTAAATTGGATGGTCAAAATTGTCATCTACAAACCAGGATGCATCTCTGTAACTAGCTGTCTCTCCTACTTTTTGGATAAGATAATTAATTAAATATTAATATCCCAAAGTCAAACTTCAAAGGTCAAACACAACGGCCAGCAAATCAACCAGAAGGTCCAGAACAACCCATAGTTCCCTCGTAACCTCACTCTATAAGTACCCACTGCTCCCACAAGCTCTTTCTTCACCAAGAGAAGAAAAAAAAAGAAGACGAGAAGCTCAGATTGATGGCATCAGAAATTTGCAGGGGTCTCTCTCTCTCTACATCTCTCTCTTCTCTCTCTTTTTCTCTCTTAAAGTCTCTCTAACATGTGAGTTTTGTTAATGACACACAGACGTAGGGAAGAGTATGTGGCCGGAGCTGGTGGGCATGAACGGAGAAGTAGCAGCAGCTATTATTGCAAACGAGAATCCAAAGGTCAGAGTGGGCATCATTCCGGAAGGAAGGATGGTGACTATGGATTATCGCTGTGATAGGGTTCGGATTTGGGTGGACCAGTATGGGAGTGTCAAACAGGTCCCTAAAATTGGTTAACACTTAGCACTTAGCAGGGCTAGCTGTAGCTAATGGGTTTCCTATTCATTCGCCTGTTCTATTTGTAAATGTGGTCTTACTCAAGGAATACATCTCATATTATACTTACGCTGTTTCAGTAATATATTTTAACAATGACTCCTCTCTCTCTCTCTCTGATTATAATATTGACATACTGTTAACATTTCTTTAGGAAAGGATTGTGAATAACCACATTTTATTTTCCCTTAATCTCGTTAAAAGAGTTGAACTTGGAATGATGTAAAAATATAATATTTAGAGACAAAGAACTTCTATGGTGTAAAAATAGATGGGTTGTTGAGGACTTCCTAGAACTAGTGGGTGCAACTTGGATGGGCTTGAATCGAGTTATCTGTTAAAATTTTGATGTATCGGACCTGTGGATCCGTGGCCCAAAGTATGTAATTTTTTTTCAAAATGGGTAACTCATTTTCACCAATTTACCTAAAATGGTTCGACGACAAGAAGAAGCCATATCAAAAGCTGATCTATGAAAATGATACAATTTGGTGCATTAAATCTACAAGAAAATTGGTAAATGAAACCAAATTGGGAGGGAGCTGTATGCCAAATAAGATTTTTTTTTTGAAAATCTAGAAATTGGCCATTTTAGGAATTTCACTATTTCGAGTATTGGAATATTTTCCAGTTTCAGTCAATTATAAAGTTTGAGACATCATTGATATATTCTACTAGGATCTTGGGTTGTTTGGCCAATTTTCTATTTTGAGTATATTCACTTTTTTATAAAGAAGATTACAATTTTAGACAAGTTAGGCATGGAGTTAGGGCTGTAACATTTTTAACCTCCCCTTACCCCTTTTCTCCCCAAAGTGGTGATTGCGGAATTCAATTCCTCATCACTACTGGAACAAACCAGCTAATACACCAACGAGCCACCTCTCGATTGGTAGTTAGGGTTAAGTGATTCAATTTTAGATGATGTTAGATTTTTACCGCTGAATAAGGCCATGTTTGATTTAATTCCCATTCTTGAGAATGAGACTATAGAATGGGTAGAATGAGAAAATGTTTCTGTTGACAAAACTCTCTTCCAAAAACTGAAATTTTTTTGTGGCAAGAATGAGAATGAATTTTGAACCAATATGGTTACAAATTTCATTCTCATCCCTTGCAGCACTAGAGAACAGAAATATAACAAAGAATTAAATAAGGATACTAACTTAATAACAGATTTCAACAGGAATGTCAAACATGTCCTTAAAATTGGTTAACAGTTAGTACATAGAAGGGCTAGCTAATGGGTTTCCAATGCATGTTTCGCTTGTTCTATTTGTAAATGTGGTCTTACTGAACGAACAAATCTCATATTATACTTACTCTGCTTCAGTAATATATTTATTAAAATAAAAAAAAGAATGACTCCTCTCTCTCTCTCTTTCTCTGATTATATTGTCATACTGTATGAACATTTCTTTGGAAAAGGATTGTGAATAACCACATTTGGTTTTCCCTCAATCTCAACAAAAGAGTTGGAATGACATAAAAAAAATAATAACTGGACAAAGAACCTCTATGTTGTAGAAATAGAATGGGCTGTTGAGGACTTCGTAGAAGTAGGGGGTACAACTTGGGTGAGCTTGAGTTGAGTATCTGTTAAAATTTGTATGTGTCCGACCTGAGGGCCCATGGCCCAAAATATGTAAACTTTTCAAAATGTGTAACTAATTCTCGTCAACTTACCTATAATGGCTGAACAAGAAGCCAGATCAAAAGGTGAAAATGGATCAAACAATGAAGAAAATGGTCCAAAACTTTCAGAGCTCATAACTACTTTTATTTTGGGCGTCAAAAAGATTCATGTGATGTATGAAATGATACAGTTTGGTGCAATCTACAAGAAAATTGATAGATGAAGCCAAATTGGGAGCCACATGCCAAATAAGATTTTTTTTCCCAATATCTTGAAATTAGCCATTTTTAGGAATTTTACTATTTTGAGTATTGGAATATTTTCCAGTTTGAGTTAATTCTTTGAGAAATCATATTCCACTAGGATTTTGAGTTGTTTGGCCCAACCATGTTGTATGGAGGGGAGTATTTTGGCAGTCAGGAAAATGAATGTGGCAGAAATGCATATGCTAAGATGGATGAGTGGAAAAACTAGAAAGAATAGGATTAGGAATGAAGTTATCCGTAGGAATCTATGAATAGCTCCAATAGGTGATAAAATGAGAGAGAATAAAATGAGAGAGAGTACACTAAAGTGGTTTGGTCACGTGCATAGAAGACCACCAACTGCACCAATTAGAAAAAGTGATTTGTTACACATTGAAGGGACTAGAAGAGCTCAAAGTAGACCAAAGACATGGGTAAAAGTAGTAAGAAATGATTTAAGTACTAATAATTTAACGGTGGATATAGTTTTAAATAGAACAGATTGCTGAAACAGGATTCATGTAGCTAACTCCATATAGTTGGGATAAAGCATGGATGATGATGATTTTAAGCTGTTTGACCAATTTCCTATTTTGGGTATATTCACTTTTTTTAATAAGAATTACAATTTTAGACAAGTTAGGGCTGTAACTTGGGTAGTCCTAACAAGTGATTCAATTTTATATAATGTTAGATTTTTATCAGTGAATGTTTGGTTTAATTCCCATTCTTGCTCAGAATGAGACTATAGAATGGGCAGAATGAGAAAATAATTTTGTGAACAAAACTCCTTTTCAGAAAACTGAAATCTTTTTGTGCAAAGAATGAGAATGACTGTTGACCTTAAAAATTTCATTCTCATCCCTTTTTTATTATCAACTAAAATAATGACACAAGTATACATTCAATAGTCAATGGCAGATATATATAGGGGAAACATGCAAGACTCAAATCAATAAAGCACAATTCAATCATATATGCCCCACAAAATATGAAAAAGGAAACTCGAAAATTTCTTGCATTTGGTTGTATATAGAAAATATAAAAGAAAACTTAAAGGAAGCAATTAGTCACAACCAAGCAAAAAATGCAATCCATGTGGGACAAATGAATAATGCCAAAAAAAGGATTACAAACTTCTCTGACCCTATGGGTTTTGATGATAACAAACACATTTAGAGTACTAATGTTGTACTAAGTATGTAGCCAACTAAAGTAAGCTTCTCTGAGCGTCAACCATATCAAAGCAAAAATTGTTGCCCAAGATGAAGAAGTGGAAGCTTTGCTTGATTCAACTGCTTGAGCTTCATTTTCTCAATACCAACTTCTCTCTCTAATGAAGTTTCTCCAAGGAAATCCAAGAGTGCAAAGGCTGCAAGAATGTCAAAGGATTTGAAGCTGCTCAAAGTGGACTTATGCTAAAACATCTCAACAAGGAGAAATCCACATCTAGCATTGGTTCAGAATGTCATATCAATAGCAGGGTGCCACAAAGAGTGGTGGAGTGGACTCCACTAGGGGATGAAAGAAATAAACTAAACTTTGATGGGTTTGTTTGGGAAATCCTGGGAGCTCAAGAATAGGAGTGGTTAGAGATTTTGTTAGCAATGTAACTCTTAGTTATTCAAGGCTAGCTAGGTTTGGAAACTCTCCAAGGGCAGAGTTGTTGGTTTTAATTCATGGCCTTAAACTAATAATTGAGTAAGGGTTATCGAATATAGTGGTTGAGGGAGATTGTCAAATAGTTATTTTGTGGATGAAGTCTCAGGAAACGATAGTTTGGACTAGGGTTGCCCAAGGCTAGGCTGTAATTTGTAAGGCCTTTTTTTCTATTGTTTTTGTCCTTTTTGGCTTATGCTAACGGCATATTGTAAGTTTTATCCACCTTCACTGGTTCTAAGCAATGTGGGTTCTTTTTTAATGAAATTTTCCTTGATGCTTATAAAAAAAAGAGGTGTTTAGATTAATTCAAACATAATCAAGAGAAAAAACAACCTGAGCTAACATCGGATGTAGAGTGTAGTTGTTTTATGTGAGAGCAAGTCTGCAAGAGTCCATTTGTTGAAGAGATTCTTAGATTCAATAGTTTAAGAGGTGAGAAAAGATGAGAAGCCTTTGAACTTGTAGATGCTTATAAAAAAAGAGGTGTTTAGATTAATTCAAAGATAATCAAGAGAAAAACAACCTGATCTAACATCGTATATAGCGTGGAGTTGTTTTTTGTAAGAGCAAGTCTACAAGAGTCCATTTGTTGAAGAGATTCTTAGCTTCAATAGTTTAAGAGGTGAGAAAAGATGTGAAACCTTTGAGCTTGTACAGTTTCACCCATTTATTATGGGTATCTTCACTAAGATAAGCATCTTGAGTCATATACTCTTGCAACTGAGTAGTTTGAGTTGTATATTGTTGCATTTTCCTATCTTAGAGGCTTTTGTATCTTTCTACTATGATATACTTGTAACATCTTTGAGTGTAAGAGGTCTTCTTTGTTGAACACCACTAAGGTTCAATTAACACCCAAAAGGCCAATCAAAGGTTTGGTAAGCACCCGCAAATTCTTTCATTTTAGGTCTTATTGACACCTATAAGTCCAACTGATAAGGTATTACAGGCACCCAAAATTCCTACTAGTTGTAAGGCTTTTGCTAGTGCTCGGAAGTCCAATTAGTTAGTAGAAATCCTTAAAGGTGATATGAGATAGAGGATGTAGGTAGGGGCTTCTACCATACCTCTATAAATTCTTGTGTGCCTTGTCTTTGTGCTTTTATTGTTTTATTTTTCTTTATCTTTCAATTTTTAATAGTTATTGTGCTATTAACATTTACTAACTTCTTAAATTTGAATATCTGCCTATCTTGCAATCATTACACCTTATTTTATTTATTCTTTTGATCTACAAGATACAAATTTCCAAGTGTAGTTACTAAGCTACTAAATCTACTAACCCTAATAAAACTAACATTTACATTAACTACTTTATATTTACATTTCATTTATTATTCAGCTGCATTATTATCCAACCAAATCTAGGTCATCAACAACAGAAGTATCAATGGCAATAGGATCAAATACATCAATGGAAATAAGAGCACCTGGGTAGGTAGGATTTGTCCTTGGGGAATCTAATGATGTTGGTGGTATAGCTTCTAGATGCTCCACGGCTCTTGAACTCAATTGGCCTTTGTGACAATGAAAGGAAACATAAAATGGAGG